AGTGTAGATCATCCTCTATTATATAATATGCCAATTTCTCAGTTGTTTGACCAGCCAGATAGAGCAAAATGTTCTCCTCATGCAACAGGAAGGGACTTAATTTCCATTCCTGTATGTAAAGTGAGTAATTTGTACAACAGAACACATATGAAACCCTATGGTCCGACCTTTGCCCTTGCCACACTACACCTTATGTCCAACAGACCTGTTGTATGCAAATACTCAGTAGGTTCTGTAATTTTTTTGCCAATCCCTCCAATACTTGGGCTTATTTTGCCTACCTCCTTTCATATTTCTATCCAAGCGAAGAGTATACCCTGCATGAGGCAGATACAGTATCCCATGAGTTTTACCTCTTTGGTAAGTTCCCACTATAGGTAGCTCATCTAGGTTTTCACAATAACACCAGCTCCTTCACCACATCAGTGAAGAATTCTAGCTACTGTGTGAAGAGAGATAAGTCTATAGTGTTTTGGATGTCACGTTTTCCTTACTTGAAATTGTTTTCCTTCAATAGATACTTCCCTCTCTTCACACCTTTTCTTCCCGCTACTAGTGTACATTATTCTTGCATCGTCTAAGAATAAAGTTAACTGTGCACAGAGTATGTGTCATCCTCCTGTTGGATTTGGAGGGCTATTGTTAATTAAATGATGATTACATCATGCACTAGTGCAGTTTACTGTACAACATGAGTCTCAAGGCTAGTAAAATGCACAAACTTTCAGACATGCAAGAAATAGCTACTATGTGAAGAGAGGCAAGTATCTATCAAAAATACATTTTCATGTAAGGAAAATGTTAACTTTAGGCTGATCTATCTTCACTCTTCCTTACTTCTTGGTGATCAAAATTAGTATTTCTTTCCAAATTGTTTTTGACATGCCAAATGTTATTTAAATGTAGGCATAATACATATACCTATGTCACGCAAAATATCTTGTTTTGGAAGTTATGCATTATAGTTGTTTTTAATCTGTGTTGGTTATTTTTTGGTTTTAAGAATCGTGTAATAGTTGCTCTGTCCTTACTTTATATTGTTTACCTGCTTATTAAAGAGTGTACATATACACTGTATTAGTTTTATCTGTTTATTTAATTTTTATATTTTTGCTTATTTGATTGCTGAATTTAGGTGCTTATGTTTTTCTATTTTCTCTGCTAATCTTGTCTTCAACACCTTTTCATTTTGTTTCGGTATAGCTGACATTGCTCAATTATGTTTGCTATAAATATTTTTGAGTGCTTATTTTTTTGTTTTCTCTACTAAACTTGCCTTCAAGACCTGTTTCTCTTTTTTGTATGGCTGGCATTGTACAATTATTTTTGTTATAAATATTTTCAGGATATTTTATTTTTCTATTTTCTCTATTAAACCTTCCTTCTAGACCTGTTTTGTTTTCTTTTGTATGGCCGGCATTTTGGTTATACATATTTTCAGGATATTGTTTATTACAATGTGTTTCTTTATATGTCTAATAAGAGATATTTTTCACACATTGCAGTTGTATTTGGTATCAGGCATGAGGTAACAATGCTTCAGAATCCTACAACAATATCTGATAATGAAAGAGTTGTTTAAATTACTGTTGTCAGCTATACTAAGAGCTACTGGTATAAGAGCTTAGGCTGTTTAAAGCGAAATGTAATCTCTATGTTGCACATTTTGTATACTTTTGTTTCTGTGTAGAATATTAGATATAACAAAATATAAGAACTGATTTTTATAGTAATTTGATAATTTGATACTGTACATGTTTTTAAGCTATTTGTATTGAATTGATCAATAAAAAAAATGAGATATCTTGTTTTCAAAGACATTTTCTCAAAAGCTTTACAACAATGTTGAGTATCATATGCATGGTGACAATTGATTTCAGTTTCACTACATTTTCCTAAGTTAATCTTGACATGAAACATGGAAACAAACTGTTTAACAAAATATGGATCAGGTTTGTTAATTGTTTGTTACCAACATTTATTATTATCTTTTAATAACAGATATCAACTTCCTCTAGAATTGCATAGTCACTCTTTTCATGTGACATGTGGAATATTCTGCTTTCCTGTTTGTTTTCAAGCTTCTGCTGTAGCTTTAAAAAATTATTACCTATCACTGGATACCAAGCTTTATAACTTGCCAATCCCTTCAAGAAACTTTATGTCCACACCAACAGTTCCCAGACCAAGGGAGAGCCAGAAAATTTCAATTAATAAGTACAAATTATTGAATTTCTCTCATAGCAAAGCCCCTGTAAATTGTGGTTCTTGGAAATTTTCTTTGTGAAGTTTAATCTGGTATTTTCTGTGGAATTCTCAAGGCTTAGAAACACCTCTAAAATTTCATATTGACCAGGTTTTTTTCCCCATTGCTTCTCACCTAGATATCATACACTTTATTTCTGTTCTAGTCGAGGACTTGTCTCCGTGCATAATCCTGAGTCTTGTGAATTTAGTTTTTATCGTGCAGAGCCTGTCATGTGCCATCTCTATTTATGAAGCTAGTTCCACTTGTAAGAGTTTGTTTCTTTGTTGTTTGGTTGGAAATTTCATTGTTCTTTCTGCAAGGTAGTTCATTTCCATGTTTTTGTACTTAAAATTTATGCATGTATATGTTTGTGTATTAAGTTTGGTGATGTGACAAGCTCTACAAGATGTTCGCATGCATCAGTGGGGTATATATATATATGTATGTATGCATGCCTAATTCACAATTATTAGTTTTGTCTGATGTTTCTCCTATGATGATTGAACCCTTTAGGTCATTGAAATACCCACTAGACACTATTAGTGACATTTTGGACTAAACCATCGGGCTTTTATTGTTCCTATAATCAACTTAATCTGTTGGGCTAACTGCTTCCTTTTCTCTATGGTCAAGAACAGTGCTTTACCCCACAAAACTTCATTATTCATATTCATACATGTAATATCAATATGGATATTTTACAGTGCAAATATTTTTATAATACCATTGAATTTCATATTCATATTTGTGTTCTAAATGAAATTGGAATAAGGTAATTTTTGTTATACTAACCAAACCACCTTTTGTCCATACAGAACTCATAAACAAACAGGTCACAAAATTAAAGTAAATAAATAAATTACAATTGCATGCAATGAATAACTTTCTGGAAGAGTTATTACTTACATGTAGATTCTTTTTGGTAAAAGACACATACAGAGGTTGAGTACATTATATTAAACAATTCTGGAACCTCACAACATCATTACAGTCCATGCCTCCATATCCTGTCATACTCCATCTGATGACCATGCATCTTGACAGTAGCTCCGTAGGGTAGTTCTGTTGCAAAAGACACGCCTTGTCTCCCCAGAGTGCACACACACACACACTCCTCTTTGCTTGCATTCCATAATATATTGAGCATTATGAGGATGGTGATTTCAACATATCCATTTTAACAGTCCAGTTGTACAGAAGTTCATAGGAATAGCATGAAAATATGTTTCATTTTCTAGTTGCTTGAGATATGCATTGTTGGATGGATGGAAGCATTTTAGGTGCATGTAACTTGTTTTACTTTTCTATATTAAGATTCTTCTTGATTATTTTTCATACTGTTGCCTGAGGCAAAAACGCGTTTGCCACAGACCTCTGCATTTATGAATTTTCACCTGTTAAAAGATGTCACAGTTTTCTTACCACGACTGGAATACAGTTTGTTCCAGATCTTTTTCGGGATGGTCCTGGTGCCCCAAGTTGATCCATATTCCTTTACTTTTTAGTGCTATTAAATACAAAGGATATACCCATCTTGGAAATTCTGAATCCTCGATATGAACACATCTCTGTGATCAGAGTGTATTAATATTTTGCACTGGAAAGAACTGTTACATACTTTTCCCAAAAGCAGTCAATTTTTGATGGCACCATACTACCTACAAAAGTACCAAAAAAATGTTAAAATCTAATTATAATACATTCTGTTCCTCTGAGACCTTATATTTGGCTGAGGTTGTCACATTAATATTAAAAATTGTTTGAATATGTATATTCAACCCTCTATACCCTTCATTTTTATCTGAAACACTGTGGATCATATGGTATTCTATCCCTAGATAAAAATACACATGGTCAAATGTTAGTATTCTCTGAAAAATTACAAAATTTTGGATTGATATAATGTTTTTGTAACTTGTTTATTTCCATTCAGGTGCAGAAAGATACAAAAGCCAATAATGAAATAAACAACCACATATACTTCATTTCAGAAAATAAAAAATAATTCAAGAAAGGAAAAAAACAACAAAGAAACTACAAATATGTATCTTAAAACTACATCTTCTAAACCTTAAGATTTAATTTTAATACTGATAGGGCAATTTATTTTTGTCTTTGTTAAGAAAAATTAAAATACATAACCCAACAAAAAATATCCCATTTGCCTTTCTAAGAACCTTTAGTCTTCTAAAAGCAGAAGTAATTTCACTATCCTTGTATTGATTCTTTGTTTTCAGAAGATTCATACTTGTTGTAATATTCTCAAGTATTGTGCAAGTTTGAGCATGACTCAATTTAGTGCAAAGTAAAATTTGCCACCTCTTTACCAATAAAGCTGTTGTAGTTTCAGTTTTTAGTTTATATTTCAAACATTGTTTTGAAAAACTAATGTGCAACTTGTCTTTGAAATATTTTTTGCCATCAGACACTAAAGTGGTGATTATAATGTAACAACCAGCAGTTTTTTCTTTCAATTGCATTCTTGTAGGTACATGTAAAGAGTATTTAAAAAGGGATAGAGAATGGTATATTTTTTGTGTAAAGTACTAACATCTGTTAAATTTATGCATAGATTTATAAGTAAATAGATATATTGAGAAAGTAATGTACATGTTACCTTGATATATTTAAAGTCATCTTAAAAGTAAGTGTTAATAATAGAATAAAAAATCTGTGTTCAGGATTAGAACTTGGCTGCAAATGCTTTTTAAATTCATGAAGAATTCATGACTTTACATAAATTTCATTTCAGAGCTAGAAGAAAGTAACAATCACATCTCAAATAACAGAGTTTTACCACAGTCAGCAAAGAGGAGAAAGAAAGGTAATTATACATGGGAACAATTCAAATGTTATTAATCTTTTGAAAATACAACGAAATTTACACTGTAGCATGTAAATCCTACTTTATCTTGCTTCAGAAAAGTTACTACAAAATTTGATAATCATAAAGCATAAGAATTTTATAATTTTCAGAATAAATTTTGTTAAGTTAAACTATTTGTTCTTTTTTACTTCATTTACTTAACAATATACTTTGAAAATGCTTACACAGTAAAAGATGTAATTACATCATTCTACCCATTAATACAAATAATGCTGGTGCATGCTAAATAAATGGACATCAACTTTTATTTAAAAAAGAAAGCTTTAAAAACTATTCAAAGAAGTAATGCATGTAAATAGCACAAGAAGTAACAGTTAAAATTTAAATCAACCCTTATATTCTACTTATATATTACCATTTCTTATCTCAAATTCTTTTTTCATGTATATAAATAAGATTCAGCATCTTGGGTAAGTAAGCCTGCCAGGTGTCACTTGTCGGAACTAGAACACAGAATTATGACATCAGATACTTGTTTAATGTTGTACAAAATAATTACATATCACTAATCATAGATGGCACAATTTTACTTACAAATTTTAACAAGTGATAACTTGAAAAATATTACTTGTAGAATATTTGTTGACCTTCGCAAGTCTCTGAAAAGATTTTCAAAATGAAATTCATAATTAAACTTACTTTACATTATTAGTATTATTCTTGCTTAAATTTCTCCATATTGGTATGATTTCCTATATATTGTGTCACATTATTATTTTCTCTATTTCCCACCAACTTTTGCCATTATTTTATTTTTATTGTTTATTTATTTTTCATCTTTATAGAAATTGATTAACAATTCCTATAACTATTATCCCACTTAAGTTTTTTATGTACTTTACACACCTCTTTGTCATAAACAACTCTAGGTTATGATTGGCTAGTTCTCAAGACCAACTCCTATTGAACATTCGGTTTACATGACGTCGACAACCGTGCCTATATATTTCATTACACTCAGTAACATAACCCTTTATTCTCCTGAAAAAGAATAGTCAACTATTCAAAAGCACTCGAGTTTTGAGTCTCGTTTTAAAACATTACCTTCCCCGTAGTCCTTAAGTTCAAAGTTAGGGATGGCTGGTGCAGTTAGTAGCTATGCACAATTATTCTAAACAAACAAGTAAAAATCTTTGCTGATTTGTTATTCAGTTAAATGAGCATTCACTAATCGGTATTGTACTAAATGAATATTGATTGATTTATTTCAATGTATCATACTATTGTAATTCTTCCTCGGTTTGTCTGAAAGTAATTGCCAGAAATTATTTATTTAATAGAAAGGACAGTTTTAGATCAATAAATAATGATAATAAGTCTGCCAATTTGTTGTACACTCTTAAGTACTGGTTTTAAACTTTAGTTATTTCATTAGCTAATGTTAATAGTGGCTAAAAGAACAACTTTGTCAAATGTAATTTCATAGCAGTATTGTGGAACTATTAAAATTTGTTCAAAAACATGTAGTTATTTTCTAATCTTTAGTCTTCCTTAAAGACTGATACATTCTTTATGGGTATCTAAATTTTATCTTATTTTCTCTACTAAGCAGATCAGTTTTGAGAATTTTAATTGTTGTATATGGTATATGTAGCAATCAGTTTTATATTTAAAATTAAGTAATTTTTTGTGTTCATCCATTTAGCATTTTTAGTTTTATTTCATACACACAATATATATATATATATGTACACACACATGCAGAGAAATCCATAAACATTTTCAATGTTCTTATAAAGCTAACCGTTAGCACCTACTAGAATGTCTGTATTATTTCTGATTTATCTAACATGTTAAAAACAGTGAATTACTAAAAGATACTCACTTATGAAATTAAATATTTTTTCAAAAATACTGTTTTTCTGTATTCAGAATATTATTACTGGTTGTTCTGGTTTTGCATTTATGGTAAAGTTTTGATTATTGTACGTTATGTTTTTCCACAGCATTGGAGTGTGAAGAATGCGGTAAATTATACAGTGAGACTAGTAGCTATGCATTTCAGAAACATGTACGTCGACATAAGCTAGGGAAACAGAGTAAAAGCAGTAGCTTCAGCAATGCTACAAGATTTGCTTCCTACCCAAACAAAAATGAAGAACGAATGAAACTTCGAGTTCGTACTTTTAAATGTCAAACTTGTGGGAAAGCCTACACTGACAATAACATTCTCAAGTGGCACATTCAGACTGTCCATAATGGTAATTTTTTCTGTATGTTTGTTTACATAATGTTAGAAGAAACCAAAATTTTAATTTCACAAATTAATTTGCCTATAGTAATAGCTAACTTTAAAATTAGGTAAACTTTCCTCTGGAATAGTGAACGTCTTTTCTTGTTGAGTTAGCTCTCATTCTGTCAGAAGTAATATGGCTTTAGTTTTTGAATGTTTTTGAACCCAGTACAAACCATATGTCATATTCTCTTCTCTCCCATCTTCCAAATGACTTATTGCATATGTGTCAGGAGAACTTATGTAAGCTTTGCATTCACATCATAATCCATATTTGGATGAAAAAAACACATTCAACCAACTTCAAGTGTTGAAGCCAACTAAATTTTTCCATATATTGTACTATTTGAAACAAATATTTGAAAATGTAATTACTAGAGGAACATTAATTTTGTTTATTACCTCCACCACTCAAGTTGGACGGAGGTTATGTTTTCACCCCTCTAGGTGTGTATGTGTGTGTGTTTGTCAGCAAGATGTCTTGAAAAGGGGTGAATGGATTTGGATGAGAGATGGTTTACATTTGGACTATAACCCAACTTAGAAGTAGATAGTTTTGGAGGGTCAAGGTCACAAAAATCCAAAAAATCCTTATCTCTTAACATGGGGACTGATTTTTTCACACTATTTTTGCTCTATAACTCAGTTGAAAATTATTGGATGTTGATGAAACTTTGTGGACATATGTAGAATATTATTCATCATTGTCCTGCCAAAAATGGTTCTTGTCCATTGATAACATCAGACATACGGACACATTTTCATATTTTTTGAGAGCTGAATATGATCAACGCTGCATGGTTGAGGTATGTACTCTACTGAGTACCCCTCCAGTTGGTTTGTTCATAATAAAAATTGTTGAAGTTGCAAGGGTATTAGTTCTCTGTGTACTGAGGTTAATCAGTGACTGGATATTTTTTATGTCAACTTATTAAAATTTACATGTAATCATTTATTAAGAATAATAATTAAAAGTTCATTAGGTGAAATACAGTCAGTATTATTTGTATATGATGCTACCAGTATAACATTTATCAATCCATTTTAAATTATTTTTTAAATATTAAAACTGACAAGTCAGATGAAACTTGCCACGTTCTGTAGTTTGATTAATAATTGAAAACTAAACATTACAAGAAACACATAAAGGACATATATGCAAACACAGTTTTTTTATTATAATATGTTAAGCCAAGAATTGCTGATGGGATTCACATGAATGTTTTAAGCATAATTTGCTACACTATTTCTCTATCAAATTGCTTGTGACTTTTTTTTTACTACAGTGTTCCTAATAACATATGAATCACAATAAAACATAAACAAAAGTACAATGAATACTGCATTTAATTCCACTAAGTTCTGCTGAGATCCATTATGTTTTTTACTTAGAAAATGATTTTATTGACCCAATTTGTTAGTAAGTTCTTTAAATTAGGTGTTGCAAAAGGTAAAAACACAAAATTACTCGTATGATGCAACATGTGAATTCCATCTGTAGTGAACAGTATAAAAACAAATGATAATTTGAGGATTAAGTATAGATCCACGATATGTAACACCATTTAATTCAACATGCTTTAAATGGGGTCACACTTACGTCAAAAAATTTTCAGTTTTATATTTAAAACATTTCTAGCCCTCATTTGGTTGTGAAAAAAATGGAAAATATTAGTTTTCAAAATGGATGTATTAGCATCATAATAGTTTCTAAGTTTAATAATAGTTTAATACAAGTTTTACTGTAAGTGTATTCTCTACAAATTATGTATTTCTATCCATATCATAACTTTAACTGAACAAGATGTTTTAGAAAAATTAAATGTAGAAGTCTCATCTTAAGTAAATTCCATACTGTGGTGTTTTGACTAATGTAAAATTCTGAGCTTTAATGAGCTGTAAAAAAAGTATGGTACTAGTGGATGACGTAATAAAACTAAGTAGAATGAACGTATGTTTCGCATTCGTGTATATACACACATACATAGAAGCATATAGAATGTTACCCAAGACTATATAAAAATGTATAAATTAGACACTACCAAAATCTCTATCTTCAGTTTCCTCTCATGGAAAATTAATATATTTAATAGTTGCTGCAAACAGCCATATTGTACACTTAACATCACATTTAATGATTGGTGCTTTATTTTGATATTCTTGTATAATTTTACAATATGAACTTCAATGTAGTTTCTTACAGTGAGCTTGTTGAAAGTAACACTAATAGGCTTTCTGAACTGAAGATAAATTTTTAGCACATTTGTAATGTGCTAGAAGTAATCATTTATGTGTCTTTCAGTGTGGCTTCCTATAGTAACAGGAAGTTAGTGAGATCTGTGTTATTTAGTGGTTTACAGTTTGTGCATTGAATTTAAGTAGCAATGCAATAATGGTTTTATTAATGTAAGAACTTTACTCTTTCTTGATTATTATATGACAGACCTCATTTAATTGACAACTTCATTGTTGTAACTAATACTAAAAATTGTTTTTATGTTGAGCAAACTAATTTTATTTCTTCTATTGGTTATCATTCACATGTGCAAAAAAAACCTAACTGTTTAAGTACCATCTAATAAAGTAAACATAAAATGTTTTAATTGGCCAAATTTAAAAAAAAAAAAGTTAAATTAATGTTTGTAAGTTATTCAGTTTCTAATGCGTGTATATATCCTGCATGTGTGTATGTATGTTTTTATTATAAATAATCTAGTAAATAACAACAATAATAGAACATTAGACAATTTATTCTGACATGTAATTCTAAAATAACTGGAAACTTTCATGCTGGCCTTAACGTATAAATCTCATTCAAGCATAAAATGTTACATTTAAACTATGAAGTCTGGCAAAATTGTGTTTTTGCTGTGATAATTGTATGCACACTTTAAATAGGGAATTTAATTTATATGTGAACTGTATAACACTTTATTGCATTTTTGCTATTGTAAAATCATAATGCCATTTTCTTTTCTTTATAGCAGAAGTGGAAACAGAAGAGGAAACCAATAGATTAAAACTACATAGTTAATGATTTAAAATATATAATAAGATTTTTTTTTATTCAGGTAAGCTCTGTTAATTGATCTGTAAGTTTGTAAAATTCTTAATTTCATCATATTGAGCTATGAAATTTAAGTCCAGATAATTACTGATATAAGGACAATTTGGTGTTTAAATATTTTATATCATTGTAAGTGGGTAGAATTTTATACACTAATCCTTTTTTGGCTAGCAAATTTTACATCTAATTTCAGTGAGGTTTGTACATTATAAAATCAACAAAATTTTCTTTCACAGAATGTATGTTTTAAAAGAGTAATTCATATTAAATTTCATAAATTTTACACATACCAGTCATTTACAGTAGGCTTCTTTTGTAAACCTAACTAAACATGAGCATGGTTGTAGTGAATAAATTTGCTATTATTATGATTTTCTGGAATGTATACTTGAAAATAGTATAATATATTTTCATTTCAGGTATTTCGTACTGCATGTACCAGCATTGTCTCTTTGTTGTGTGTGTTTGCTAAATGGTAAATCACATTTGCCTTTCATGAATATCAGTGTATCTTTGAGATTTCAGCGAAGTGTGACATGCATGTGTTGGTGATATTACTACATGTGATATGACAGCTTCCATAAAAAGATATGCCAGGCATTTTTAAGAACATGAGTTTTGATATGACAGCTTCCATCAGAATATTTGCCAGGTATTTTCAAGAACATGAGTTCTGAGCTCAGATGAAGCTACCAATGGTTTTTAATATGCTTTGAGACTTTCTTTTTTCCTTCCATATAGCTTATTTTGGTACAAAGTTTGTATTGCGATATTAATGATAACATGAAAACAATGATTAACTAAATCAGTTAACTTGGTGTCAAATTTGTATTGTAAAATATCATGAACAAGCCCATTTTAATGCTGTTATCAATCATTATACTCTGTAGCTGCAGGTAAGAAAAAAAAAGCCATAATAAATGGCCTTAAGATTTTGAAGAGCTTGTTACATTAGGTTTCTAGGACCATTTTTGTGGGTATTGTTTTGTCAGCTGTTTATCATTTACTACTTTATTACCAATTCTGCACTATAAATATTACTGAACAAAGATGAGTACAGAGTTACTTGTGCTATTTTTAGGAACTCAGGAATAAAACAGAAATATTTAATCTTGTAAGAAAAGTTAATAATTATTTTGGTGATTGAGAGTATGCTCTACAGCAGAATAAAATAAATAATAATGAAACTTATATGTGAATAAAATTTTTATCCATCACTATTTATTTAGTTATAGAGCACTTTTTTTCATTTAAATTTCAAGAACTTTTTTTTTCTCAGCTACTAAATATTTATATATAGAAGAATATTATTTTTAAAGAAGTATTATTCTTTTATTAAACGACCTGAAAAATATACGTTCATCTAATGCATGTGCTTTCTTCATATAAAGGAAGGTTTTCATAATCTGTTTAGCCTAGTAAATTATTAAGCTCAGAGTTAATTGTACTATTTGTAAGAATTTTGGATTGAAACAGAAACATTTAGCCTTTCAAGAAAAGTTAAGAGTGGTGTTCACCTTTAAAAGTTTGCTCTGCATTATTTAATATTTTTTCATCACTGTTAATTGCATTTAAAAGACATAATGCTTGGCATGGTTAAAAAAACTTTTTAAATAGAAGTTTAATTAAAATCACAATAGTTGTGGTAATATGCGTTAGTAAAATAAAGTTTATATATATATATATCTAAAAGAAAATAAACTACTTACAATATTTGAAATCTTAACACTTCTTCAGCTGTATCATCCAGTTATTCTTAAGATGTCAGTAAACTATTAAATATTTCATATTTTGAATAACTTTAAAAGAATTTACAGTTTCACTAACTTTGTGACTTCAATGTGATATTCTTACAAAAATTATATAATCCTTTATCCCTTGGTCATACAGAATTTCATGTATGTAGAAAATAAATAAGAACTTGGGAAGTGTTTCGAAATAATATAACTAAGTTACTGATTACTATCAGTTAAAAATTATTGCTCACTAGTTTACTTAATACACATTTGGAATGTTTTGTTTACTAAACATTGTAATTACTAATTTTTGATAAAATATTGTAAGTCTCTAATTTCTGTGTGTGTGTGCATCCTCACATTTCTCATGTCTTTTTTTTTTAATGTTTTGAGCAATCTTGTTAAAGAAATTTCTATTTCACAACAAAAGAAAATTTAATTTCTGTCAGATTGTTTTAATCTTAATAACACAATAAATGTTTGATCTTTCCCTGTACTTTAAATATTGTAATATAAACACTATCACATATTAGTTTTGTAAAAATATTATAAATTTATCAGAAGTAATATTTACATTCAATAGTCCTTTTGATGTTAATATTCTAACAACAGGTAATTTTCAATTTGCAGGACATACAAATCATTATTCTTTACTCTCATTTTATTATAAATTAACAATTAATATTTAAGCATTTCACCTAATATTTGATAAAACTTTGTAGTAGAAAAATTAAACATTTGTTCATTTAAGTGATAATGCCTATGTCACACACTTGGTTAAACCAGTGTGTAATTCTGAGTTTACATACACTAAACAACTTTGGCAACTTGATTTTAGAATAAAATGGCCAAATGATTATGCAGTAAAGCTTTATTTTATGGAATATAAAGAAGTCCTTATAAAAAATAAAATTTGTTCTTCACAATATATAAAAAATAGAAGTTATTGAAAGCTGCAGGTTTTACAATCTATTTGGTAATAGGTAAATAATTGGTGAAAGGTAAATAATTTATAAATTTATGGCAAATTGAGCTTGCCTGACTCACGTCCCTTTATAGAGAATTGTGTTCATATTTAGCTGTTATTTCAGTCTTCAGTAAATATAATTTGAAGTGCATTACTGCACTTAAACACTGGGCCAAGCATAGCCCAGTAGTTAGCTAGCTGGACTGTGAATCTGAGGTTTGCACCCTGTTATTACTAAAAAACATCACACTCCATACTTTAAGACATTATAAGAGTGACAATCAAATTCCCACTATTTGATTAGAGTAGCTCATGAGTTGATAGTGGGTATTGTTGACAAGTAATTAACATATTTTCAATAATAGATCTTTAACCAATTAGTGGTGAAGCCAGTATAACTTTTATTACATTCTGATAAAGTTAACTTCTTCCCTACTGTCTAGTTTTGGTAGCTATGTTTCCTTTTTTTACTTAAACTTGAAATATTATAATTTATAATTAAGTTTCAATTATTGTAATCACTAATCAGATTAAGACACGTGTCAATCTGAATAAACTTTATAAAAGATTGTTTGAATGTTATTTTTTCTGAACTGTAACATCGTTTCTGTATATACTAGTATATACAATTAATTAGTATTGGATATGGTAATATAGCTGCTTAAATGTGTAGTGTACAGTATATATAGTATTTATTTAATCCAAGGACAAGGATAACAACTGTTTTTGTATAAAAGATATCTTGAGGACAAGAAGATTGAATTCAGTATTAAATAACATGAATCATAAATGTGGTATTTAAATCACTGAAGTTAGAGCTGATAGGTAAAGAACTGCTGGTAAATTGAAATTTGACTATTAAAACGTTTTTGCTATAATATATCTGTAAACTCTTGTGGCACATATTATACATGTAGGTATCACCTTTTCAGTTTACAGTGGAAACTGCACTTAAAATACAAGTCAGCCAGTGAAAAACACTTGTTTAGAAATAGTTTCAACTGTGTTTTTTTTTTGTTGTTCTTTAGTGTTCTGGTAACATGGACATCACAGTTTTTATTATAAACACAATGGGAAAGTATCTCATAATAGTAGTCGATATGATGTGTATCTAGATACTGATGCCATGATACGATACGTATCTAGATACAGAAGTTTTACCAATGGTTTGTTACAAAGTTTGACAGTCTTGTCTGTAATTTATTATCTATATTACTAACATTGTCTTATTTAAGTACTTCACACTTTACAGTGCTTTTTCAAATTCTCAGGTTTTATCAACTAAATGGCAGCTGATAAGAGAAGTAAAATAAAAAAGTTAGTTAATATCTGTCTATCTATTTTGTTATTGTTAATTTGTTATGTTACTTTGCATGTAATGTTTTTGATAAAAGAAATGAAGACAACATGTAGTACTCAGTATTCATCTTCCTTTATTGAATCATTAATTTTTAGCAAAAATACTTTATTAGAAATTTTGATTTTTTTATGTAAAAAATACTTATAATGTTTACAGAAAGCTTACCAAATTTCATGAAGGTACCTAAATCACATTGTATTGGATGGTGTATCGATACAGTCGTATCATGGCTTCACGATACAATACTCGTATTGCTGTATCGCCATACCTTTATTAAAAACTATTAAGTTGTAAATATCTATATTAACATATAATATCAATGTGCAACTCTGAAAGCCACAAACAAATATTTCTAGTGGTTCAGAATGTTAATGCAATTCAGTTATTAAACATAAAACGTTTGCTTCCTTGTGTCACCAACTAAAGGTCCATTTCAACACATTGAGAACCAGTTTGTTGTTATCAGAAGGAAGTATATTCAGTTTAGTATAATGAAGTTGTATTCTAAAGTAATACTTATTTAATAAAATAATGTATAATATTTCTGCCATCAGAGCTTGATTGGCTGTTCTTAAATAAGTCATTAGGTGAAATCTTACAAGTTATTTATGTAAACCTCTATTTGTTGTATTATGTTGTTTACTACTGTATCTACATATAATTATACTGTATAGTATTACTGTATAGAAAAGGGAAATGTTCCTGAAAAAAGAGTAGGGGATGAGAATGTGTACAAAAATAATGCAAGTCTTATTCTAAACTGCCTCAATGAGACTTAAAATTGTAGAGTTTGATCTGTCATACAAGGAAGCATAAAAAAGATTACCACAAATACATCCTGTAATCTTGCATTCAAGTCTCTTGTCGTATGAAATGCAAGGTTTTATAGCTTTACAATTAAGCAATATTTTTAGCCTATTTTCAAGTTGCTTGTACTTGAACAGGACACCTCAAAAATTCAAAAAATATTTTATTTTACATAAATATTTATTTTCTTTTATTAATTAATGTGAAATATATATATCCTTACAGATCAGTATCTAAGCATGGCCTAGTAGTTGGCATCCCATTGCTGCATAATCACACTCCATGCTTTGGAGCCATGAGTGCAGTATAAAAATGATGGTCAAATTCCTTTATTCAATTAGAATGACTAAAGAGTTGGTAGTGGGTGCTGTTGACTCCCTCCCTCTAGTATACGAGTTCAAAATTAGGGAAAGATAGTCTATGTATAACTTGGCACAAATATCTAAAACAAACTTACATGAAAATAAAAACCCATAATGTAAAAATTGTGGTAGACTTCCATTAATTATAGCAGATTTGATTTAGTTTAGTTTTAGAAAATTATCCCATAAATAAATTGTCTATAGTCAGACCTATTTCACACAGTTAGTGCCCTTTAAGTCAAAATGAAACATTATAAAATGTAATCTGTTTTGTTAGTTAGGTACTATCTTACAATGAAATCAAGTTTATGCTGATAAAAACTAAAATAATTAGGTTATATTATTCTAATACATATTTAAAACAATGTTTGTATGTAGTATGATTATATAATATAGCAGTATAGTAAAGAATGTAGAAAGAGAACTTTTAAACTTTGTTATTTGTACTGTGCTCACTCTTCTGGGATTTATTGTTAATTTGTTTCCAACAGAGTAATTTATGGTAAAACCACATAACTGTACATGCATATTTATGGTTAATAAACTTTCCTTATAGGAATACTTGAACAAACATACTTATTATAAACTATTTGGACCACAACAATTCTATTTTTGTTCATCAAGTGTTCTCAAAAGAACTCTAGATGCTTCATATATAACACAAATGGTGAAAATGAGTTAGATTTTGTCTTGGAATTTTAACTTGTTAACATTTTTTTACATGATTACCTTTTTTTTACAGATTCATTTAGAAGAAAGGTTTCTAACTATTCATTCATGCAATGTAGGAAAATAAAAATTTAATGACCATCGTTTGTAAATTTGTCTCTGCTTGCATATTACTTGACAAGAAAATTAACAACATATAACATTGTAAATTTTATTACAAAATTATGGGCTTTGTCATGTTTTATTTAATATTTAAATTCAGATTTTAAAAATTTATATTTAAGGCTCCATGTGGGAATAGGACTTTCTAAATTAATCTGTGGAGTTG